AAGCCCTTATTAGATTTATAGTTCCCAAATAGTTTTTCTCATTCCATAGATTGTCTCTTCACTTTATTGATATGGAGCCTCTTCACTGGTCATAAGGTAGATCAAAGGAGTACCTGTTCCTTTCTAAATGGGGCCACCAGTCCACATGCCTTACAGGCATGAAGTGGATTCTTCCACTCTGTACCACTGTGGTCATGGTAGTGATGAGGCTGATGGTGATGATGATGTGTTCCTGCTGGGGATGGTACTGATAGGAGTGATTGTAATGACTGTGGCAGATTGGTGAGGCTGATGACCACAGGGATGATAACAGGATAGTTTTAACCATGATTGTGGGGATGGTGTTGGTTATGGCAGCAGTGGTGTTGATCATGGTGAAAGCAAGTGTGGTAATAACACTTTGCACCTCATTGTGTACCAGACACTGTTCTTCTAACCATTTGCTATGTATCAACTCCCTAAATCATGACAATCTTGTGTAGTAGCCACTATTGTCATCCCATTTTACAAATTCAGAAATTGAGAGGTTAAATAACATGTCCAGGGAAAGATACACCCAGTAGGGTTGGTGATCATGTTGTTGATTGGTGGTCATGATGATCATTGTGATGACATCAGTAACAATAATGATGGGGACAGGGATAACTGTGGTTTGGTTGTTGTGGTCATATTTGTAGAAAGCACAGAGATGTCAGTGTTGGTGACTGACAATGTGGGAATGTCTATCAACTACGGTGATGACAATGGTGATAAATATGGTGGTGATAGGGAAATTGTGGTTGCATTGTTGATGGCAGTAGTGCCCATGTCTTTGATGACCATGGGCATGTTGGTGATGCCAGTGACAGTGTGGGCCCGGCCTTGATGATGATGGTGACAGGATGGTGACAGAGCTCCTCCTTTTGCAGATGTGAAGTTCCTGAATAACCACAGCCTGGTGAAGGATGCTCAGGAGAAGGCTAATGCTGCCCTGCTTGATTACACCCTGTGCCACTACCCGCACTGTGGGGACAAGTTCCAGCAGCTGCTGCTGTGCCTGGTGGAGGTGCGGGCACTAAGCATGCAGGCCAAGGAATACCTGTACCACAAGCACCTGGGCAATGAGATGCCCCGCAACAATCTGCTCATTGAGATGCTCCAAGCCAAGCAGACTTGAGCCTGGGCCAGGTGGGGCAGGGACTGGGGCCAGGGGAGGGGCCACGGCCACCCCTTTGGCCCTCCCAGTTGGTTTATTTGTTGTGCCAATCCAGGAGCCCCACTCTGTAAATCCCTGCCCCTGAGCTCTCTGAAGCTGTGTGTTTGGGAAGGTGGGTGAGGATGGGCAGGGCTACCTGAGGTGGGGGAGCCCCCTCATTAGCCCCACTGGCACTTGCCTACCACTCAGAGCACCCCAAGGAGGCAGCTGCTAACCACTCCCTCCATCCCTCTGTGCCCAGCTGTCTGTCCTGGAGACTGGAGGTCCAGAGAGGAGGTTTGGGATTCTCTAGTGGGCCTGTGTCCCTTGGGTCAGAGGTCATCCCTTCCCCCTCTCCTAGAAGCAAAGGCAAGCAGCAAGAGGTTGATTGGGCATCAGCTGGGGGAGCAGAGAGGGTCTCCAGAACCCCTTTACAGAGACCAGGAGGGAAACTCTCTGTTTTGTAAACTAGAGACAACTGAGTTTGCTAAATTGGCCAGGGGCTGTTGGGAGACTGGTTAGGGAAAAAACAAAAAAACCAAACTCTTCCTAATCCTTTCACCCCATCTGACTTCTGTAGGTGGGGATCTTTGACACATCATCTGAAAATAATTTTGGTACAATCAATCTTTCTATCCTTCTCTTACCAGAGAAGTTAGGCGCAATCAATATCCTAGCCCCACCCCCAGCTGGCCAGTCCAGGCTGGTGTTTACCTGCAAGTCTGTAGTCAAGAAGTTCTTTGCTTTGTTTTGTTTTTTAAATCTCTTAGACACTCCTTGAAAGGGTGTGCGTGGTGCAGGGCAGGAGACAGATTTGAGGACTGAGGCTGGAATGTGGGGATTAGCACCAAGTATAACCTATAGTTTCACCTCAGACACCCTCATACTGAGTACCCCGTGAGTGGTGCTGGGTTATGATTTCTGAGGCCCCACCCCAGCCCAGAGAGTCGTTACTTGCTACTTCTCCCACTAAGTGACCAGCAAGCAGGATGTCCTGTGGTGGGGGGGCTCAGAATCTCTGAGGTGGGAATGTGGGCAAACTTGGGGAGGGTGTGGGTGTCTCTAGATCAGGGACAATGCTGATGAGCCCCTCACTGGCCCCTGTGCCATTGGGCCCCTTGCTGCAAATCCTTGACCCTACCCTCAGCTGCTGGCTCCTGCCCTAGGCTCTGAGAGCACTAGGGAGAGGCCTCAGCTTGCAGACCAGGCATCCACTGTCTGTCCTGCTTCCTGTCTCCAGTGCAGCTTGGGCTGAGCCTGCCCAGCTGGGGAGACTGGGCATCCCTGACTTCTGCCTTCTAGTGCCCTCTCTCACTCCCCACCCCTGCCCCCCTCTGTCAAGGCCGGAGACCCATAGTCCTGAAACGAAAAGTGCCCTTAAGAATCTCCTCAGTTCCTGCAGCCCTGGAATAAATTTTGCAATTAGTTTCCAGCTATTTTTGCCTGTTTACCTTCTGGGGCCAAAGCAGAACCTCTTGGGTGGGTATGGGGTGGTCTAGGGTGGGGTAGTGTGCCAGCTGGGATGGAAGTGATACTCAGATACCTTTGGTTCAAAATCTGGGGGGGACAGGATGTGTTGTGGAGTCCAGAGTGAGGGAAAACTAGCTGCTGATAGCAGGGGTGGGGAGTGGGCTTAGACCTTACCTCATCCTGGGCCCCCTACCACACCCTGGAGATCTGCAGGATGCTTTGGCCTTCCAGGACCTCAGCCTTAGTTCCACCCATGACAGTTGAAGTGCCCATCTTCGGTCGAAGACAACAGTCATTTATTGAGCATCTATCTACTGTGCACCACCCTTCTGCTTACTGTCCCTACAATTGCCTTGTGGTAGGAGTAAGAATCTAGGATGGGAAGATACTAACCAAGGGTCACTCAGCATGTGCTTTGGGAGAGCAGATTCAAATAGGAGTCCACCTGACTCCAGAGCACTGGCCCTTTCCTCCTCTCTGTCCATTCAGTGGCCACCCACTCACTCCTCACACCTCTCTCTACAACCCGGCCTACTACATCGTTCTCACAGATTCCCTTGCCGCCACGGCTACCTCTCCCACCACAAGGTGGCAGCAGTAAGCACAACTGTGAGCGTGAAGGAGCTTTTTCGCTCGAGATCAGAGGTGAAATGGCCTGTCCAAAGTCCCACAGCTGAGAAGGGCCATCGTGCAAACCCTTATCATCCCAACCTGCCTGCCCACATTAACTAGCTCACCTTCAGGGCCACTCCTGTCCATAGGTACCTCTCTGCAAATCAGAAAAAAGTGTCTCAGTAGTGGCTTTTATGCAAAGAAAAAGGCGTACCTCCTCTCCCTCCTGACATCCCTGGGAATGACTAGCCTTGTGGGGGAGACCGTCTTCGTCATATCAAAATCCTGTGCAATACATCATGTAACTCAGCCACATGAGGATGTGATTGGCTCTGCAGTGGTGGTGGGCTTTGAGGGGAACAGGAAGGCTTCATAGCAGAGGTATTGTCCAAACTGGATTCTGAAGGATCATCAGGAGCTCACCAGCTAGACAAGAATTGAGGGCATTCCAGGCTGAGGGAACAGTGTGAGCAAAGGGATGGAGGAGTGTCCAGCCTGCAGTATGTGGGGACCAAAAAGCGGTTCTTTTGGCTGAAGAGTAAAGTGTGTGTGTGGGGAAGAAGGGTATAAGGGCAGGGAAGTGGGACAATGAAAAGGACACCTTGGTTCCCACTCCTGGGCCTCTATGATTAGTTTCAAGGGAGACAAACCCTCTGAAGGGAAGGGGAAGAAGACTCTAAAAATGCAAGTGGGAGGGTCCACCATGCACCCACCCAAATCTGGCTGCCCCTCCAGCCTCCAGCCCCTTTAATCCCACTGCTCAGCAGCAAGTAGGGGGCTTGCCCAACCTGCTAGACCGAAAGAGTAGTTCTCCTGTTGAAAAACAGCGGTGCACCTGCCCTGCTGGGATAGAGTGCTCCAGGCATGGGTACCTTTCCACTCCTCCCTTTCTGCTGCCTTCCTATCTGAGACCTTCTCTGAACCTCAGTTTCCTCCTCTGTACAGTAGGACTGATGGTCTCAGATCTGAGGTGAGGATGCAAAGCTTTAAGGCAGTAAAGGCTTAGTACCTGGCCTAGCACATAGTAGGTGTTACTACATGTTAGCTGCACCTACCCTGGTGATGAAGCTGAGGACACCTTGAGTCCCCAAGCCCAGAGGCAAGTTCCCTCGCTTTCACCCTCCTCCAAGAGTGGGATCCCTTCTCTCTCGCCAGGCCAATGGGCCCCAGAGCGACAGGCAGAGCCTCAACAGTACCCTTTATTACCAAAGACACTGCAGGCACACTGGAACTTTAGAGCAGGTGGGGACAGGGTGGTGGAGAGGGGCAAATCACAGACAGAAAGATAGGGGACTGAGCTGTGGGCCCTGGTGGGGGCAGGGGGTGGCCAAGGCGCTGCTGCTTACTCAGGGGCTGCCAACTGGGCTTTGCATCCCATCTGGGGTTGAGTGGAGTCCCCAGGCCCTAGGTCCCTTGGCAGAGCTGTCCAGTTGGGGCAGGGTGTGAAGTCCTGGATGCACTTTCTCTAGAATCCTGGGAAAGAAATGTGCCCCTTGGATTGGGCTGGCAGAGATTCAGGGTGGGGAGCCCATAGGATGGGGAAGAGGCTGAGAACTGAGGCTGGGGGCGATCTTTGGTGGGATTCTTGTCCTGGGCAGTCTTTCCGACCCTCTTTCGGAGCCTCGGTTTCCCCATCCTAAGAACTTCTGCATGCCCTAGTGGGCGGGCTTTTAGGAGGGGCGGTCGTAGGGGCCATAAGGAACACAGAGCTGGTGACCACCTCCCACTCCCCCACAACTCTCGCTCAGGCCACCAGCGTGGGTTGCAGCTGGGGGGCGGGGGGGGCGGAGCCATCCGGCAGGATCAGACTTAGGGGTCCGCAGGGTGGGGCCAGGGTCTTAGGCCGAAGTTGAAGCGGTTCCGTTGCTAAGAGGGGCCTTAGCAACGCACCCATTCAATGAAGACAAAGGCGCCATCACTTGAGCGCAGAGGCGCTGCTGCGGCTCTCTTGTTCCCGCAGACGTGCTGCGCCTGCAGAGGGGGGGAGAGGAGTGGGGATGTGGGGAGCTGGGGGCCGTGAGCCACTGGGAGGGGGGCAGCTCAGGTCCCCTCAGAACACCTACCACGCGAGCGCACTGGGCACCTGCGCCTTCCCAACAGGCCTGCGGGGGGCGCCACTAGCCCATTTTGCCGGGAAGCTAGGGCTCCTGGGGAGTGAGACACCAGCTAGTGGTGGAGGCCAGCTGGGAGTCTGGGCTAAGGGTCACACAGACCTGGTCTCCAATGTGCCCATGTATATGCCCTTGTGATTACTGTTGTGCCTGTTTCTTCATCTGTGGGAGTGAGGGCCACTGACCCTGGCAAGCTGCCACCCCTCTCTGCCTCAGCTTCCTCATCGGCATTATGGGAAGATAACAGCACCTCCATTTTCCCAGGTCACAGATTAAACGCCTGGAGTTTAACACAAAGCCCCAGTAAGAGCTCAGTAAATAGACCTCTAGCCTCTCACTAGGAGCTCTGGTGGCGTAGTGCTGAAGGCAGTTGACTGCTAACCAGAAGGCTGGCGGTTCAAACCCACCAGCCACTCCTCGGAAGGAAGGTTGGGCAACCTACTTCCGTAGTGATACTGCCTCGGAAACCCAAGGAGGGGTCACTATGAGTCGAACTCAAGCTCAGTGAAGCTGAAGACAGCAAGCAGAGTCCCCACGGCTTTTCTGGGGCCAAGCTGAGCTCCCCAAGCCAGAAGCCCTCCCTGAGTAAGGCCTGGGGTGGCCCCACCCCTGCCAGCTGCCCATAAAGTCCCCCACCATGTTCCCATTGGTTGTCCAGCCGGGAAACTGAGGCCTTGGAGATCTTGCTCTTCACTCTCAGCTTATGAGGCATCAGGATAGGGACTCTCAGAGGAGGATAAGGCTGGGAGGTGGGGCTGGGGGGCGGCATAGGTAGGCTCTGGGCTTCCTGTTCACTGCCCTCCAGCCCACTGGCTCTGGAAAAGGGTCCCACAAACTCATTCCTTCACTAACCCTCTCCCAGGGAGCACTATATTCTCACTGACAGAGCCCACAGCGTGCTCATGGTGGACCTTCGGTACCAGCAAGTATCAGAATGGGGAGGGCCCCTTGAATGGTGAGAGGGAAGGTGTGGTTGCTTCTTAAATTACTTCCATCCAGACACAGTAAGGCAGAGGGCTGTCCAAACCAATGGAAAAAAAGAGATTGCCCCCTGAGGTGGGAGCTATACCTAAGTCTTGAATGCCGTTAGCTCCACAGCCTGAGAACAGAGGAGGTCTGTTGGGGGTGGGGAGGTGGGTCCCCACTCCTTCTGCTCTCCCTTACCCCGGGGACCCCGGCTACCATGGTGATAACGCCTCCCTCCCCACAGTGGCCTTGGCATTCGGTTCTGCCAGTGCACAGAGATTATATGCAGTCTGTGTCAGACAGCAAGTCCCTGCTCTTCAGCCCAGTAACTGAGGAATAGGGCCCTCTTGAGTCCTCAGAGGAGCTCTGGTGGCACAATGCCTAAGGCATTTGACTACTAACCAGAAGGTGGGCGGTTCAAACCCACCAGCCACTCCGTGGAGGGAAGACAGGGCAATCTACTTCTGTAAAGATTTACCATCTTGGAAACCCAAAGGGGGGTCACTATGAGTTAGAATCTACTTGATGGCAGTGGGTTTGGTTTTCTTGCTTTCGAATCCCCAGGGCAAGGCCCCTACCCTAGCCCCTGTGGCTTCTCCAACTCTCCCACCCACACCTGGCAGAGCCCTTCCCAGTCCCGGTCTCACCGGTTTCTTGGGCTCTGCAATGGAGGAGAAGGTTGTGGGGATTCTGGGGCCGTGGGTCCCTAGTGGGGGAAACACAGAAGAGTTGGTGAATTTTGGGAAACTGAGGCAGGATGCTCTCCCTCCGCTCCCACACCCTGGGTGGGGATTCCACTCTGAGACTCTATGGATCCACCTGGAGGCTTACCCACACATTAGTGATGAAGAAATGGAGGGAGGGAAGGTGACTTTCACCAAGTGAGCTGGGACTGGAATTCCTGACCTTGCCACTCAACCCACATTCTACCTCAGGGTTTGGGAACGCTATCAATCCTTCAGGATCCCCAAATCCCCTGCCCTATGGAGACCCAGGGAAGGTGCCTGGGGCCAGCCCCACTTCTGGGCTGGGCATTAAGGGTCCCTGTTCCTTGTGAAGCTGGGAGGAGGGTAGGGGAATGTGCCATTTCTAAGGAATCTAGGGCTTCAGTTTGTGTTTCAAACGGGCTAACAGAATCTGCCACAGACCTGGGAAAACCCAGCCCCCGGGGAGCTATGGGAACGGAGGGTGGCCAGGCCCCTACCTTTGGCAGCCACAGGCCTCCAGGCTGGGGATAAGGCCACCGGGCTGCGCTGGGCTGCCTCCCAGGGACCTGAGAGCGGAGGGCAGGAACGCGTCTGAAAGGAGAGCGTGGTAGCAGCGCTCAGTCCCCGGCCGTGGGCGGAGCCTCCCCCCACCCGACCCCGCGAAGGCCCGCACCGTGAACGCCTCCACCGCCTTCTGCTCCGTGATTCTTTGCAGGGCGTTCCGGACCTGGGAGGTGGAAGCTGAGGTCGGGCCGGGACCGCTCCTGACCCCCACGGAGGCCCCGCAGCTAAGCCTTGCCCGAGGCCTGATCCCACCCCTCGCAGCCGGCTCCCCTCAACTCACCTCCCCATTGCAGGCGGCGTAGACCAGGAAGATGTACGGCCCCTGGGGACAGAGCCGGCTGGCAGGCGTCACTCCCTCGGAACCCCGCCGCCCCACCTCTCGCCTTGCCTGAGGACACAGCGCCTCCTCCCCGCCCCCTAGTGGTCGCCGGGCCTCAGCGGAGTTATACCGAGAAACATCCAGAGACAATCAGACAGAAAATAGCCCCAAACCCTGCCTTGTTCCCCTCCGTCACTAGGGGGTTGCCGCTGTGGCTTTCTAGGAGAAAGGAGAAGACAGCAAGAAAGAGAAAGAGCGAGCGCGCAAGCAAAGGCCTTGCCCCACCCAACCCCACACCTTCAGCCTCTTGGCCACCAGGTAGCCTCTGGTCTCTATCCCTCCATACCCCACTTTAAAGGAACAATATGGCCTCGTGATTTGGAGCCCAGCACTACCTTGATGCCATTTAGACAATGCCAAGAGGCAACAGCCCCTCTTTTGAGGCTCAGATTGGGGGACACAAGAGGCACCCTGCAAACTCTGCTGCTCCCCTTGGTCCTAGACACCAATTGGGATGATACCACCTGTCATGGCTTGACCTGTGTGTGCCTCCCTCCCCGCCAAAATGTGTGTCAACTTGGCTAGGCCATGATTCCCAGTATTGTGTGGTTGTCCTCCGTTCTGTGATCTGATGTAATTATTCTCCATTTTGTGATGAGGAGCTCTGGTGCTGCAGTAAAGGTCAGAGGTTCGAACCCACCAGCTGCTCAGCAGGAGAAAGATGAGGCAGTATGCTTCTGTAAAGATTCACAGCCTTGAAAACCATGTGGGGAGTTCTACTCTGTCCTATAAAGGTAGCTATGAGTCAGAATTGACTCCATGGGAGTGGGTTTGGGTTACATGTAAATGAAGCAGGATTAGGGTAGGTTGTAGCTCAGGTCCCACCCTTACTAGTCACACCCTTGCTTGAGTCATGACTTTTATCTTACAAAAGATAAATTGTTGTTGTTGTTGTGTACTCGTACAACTCATAGTGACCCCTCCTTGGAATTCTGAGGCAGTATCACTATGGAAGTAGATTGCCCAACCTTCCTTCCGAGGAGTGGCTGGTGGGTTTGAACCGCCAGCCTTCTGGTTAGCAGTCAAGTGCCTTAGGCACTATGCTACCAGCACAAGAGATAAAAGGAGAGAGAAATGAGCAGAGAGGAGACCTCACTACTACCAAGAAAGAAAAGTCAGAGATATCCTTGACCCAGTGTCCCTGCACTAAGAACCTCCTAGACTTGGAGGAAGATTGATGCCAGATCCCCAAAGACCCAGAGAGCAGAAGCTGAAGCGACAAGTTCCTTCCAACAGAGACAAAGCCTTTTCCTAGAGCTGGTGTCCTGCATTTGGACTTCTAGCCTCCTGTGAGAGAATAGATTTCTGTTTGTTAAAGTCATCCACTTGCGGTATTTCAGTTATAGGAGCACTAGAGAACTAAGGTACCACCTAATCAACCCCCTCCAGTCACCAAGACAGCCCTCCACATCCAGTCTGTCCTCTCTCTGCAGCCTCTGAACTGCCATCCCCGTCCCATCTCCTCCCATGCACTTACTCATCACCCAAAGGCATGGTTCCAAACTGCAACCCAGCTATATCCGCACCTGCTTAGTATCCTTCATGGCTCCTCAGTACCGTTGGAATGGAGTTTGATATCTGCATGGTCTGGCCTCTGCCCCCCTTTCGGCCCCTCCCCTTGATCCCATCACGCTCTCCTGGCTTAAAGCAGGCTCTTCCTCTTTTTCCACTCAGTCTTCAGGTCTTAACTGAGAATCACTCCCTCCAGAAAGTACCCAGACTGTGTCTTCCCTAAGTGGCTCCTCCAGCCCCATACTGCCCCCTGGTCTCTCAGCCTCAATTGTATCACACTGTGGTCGTGTGGTTTCGGTGTCTGTTTGTCCCTAAGGTCAATACCTCCAAGAAGGTGGATTCTTTGATCCCACACATCACTGTATTCCCCCGTATGTAGCCCAGCGCTGGCACAGAGGAGGTACTGCGGAAGTACTTGTTGAATGACTAAATGAATGAAATCTCACCTTCCTGGGGCTGCAGCATGTGCAAGATATTGTGCTTAGTTCTTTGCAAATATGATCTCAATTGAATCCCAATGATCCCAAGAGGTGAGTATATGATCCCCTTTAAATAGATGTGAAGTCCTTGGAGGATACAAATGATTAACATGCTTGGTTGTTAACCAAAAGGGTGGAGGTTCAAGTCTGCCCAGAGGCACCTTGTAAGAAAGGCCTGCTGATCTACTTCCAAAAATTAGCCTTTGAAAATCTTACGATACATAGTCCTACTCTGACAGATGGGTCACCATGAGTCAGAAGTGATTCGATGGCAACTGGTTTATACAGAAACTGGGGCCTCTGCCAGCTTGTTCAGCTTCACAGGCTTCTCTCAGTCAGGTAAGTGTGAGCTATAGCTGGTTATAGGAGTGAGGCTTTGCTCTCCCTCCATGAAACCTGGCACAAGGGGTCAGAAGGAAACAGATCATCCTGAAGAGTGATTCCTTGACAGGGAAAGGGGAGGGAGAGTCTGAGGGCAGGTCCCGCCCAACTTCTCCCCAAGACAGACAAGAGAGAAAGAGAGGGGCAGGGCTGGAGCAGGGTGGGGAGAGACAGATAGTTCATGAAAGAAAAGAGGAGAAGGAAAAAGCCAGGCTTGGGATGAGAAGCAGGGGAGAGGTCCCAGAGAAGAAGCCCTGAGGCTGAATCAGGGACCTGCCTGAGCAGGCCATATGAACGGCAGCAGCACACCCAGAGCCACCTCGCCCTTCTCCTCACTAGGCAGCCTCTCTGCTCCTTTCACCAGGAGACTATCAAGGAAGGTTTGAGGCTGACTGGAAGGGGACAAGAGAGGGTCATATCCATTGTGCTGGTTAATTTTGTGTCTCAACTTGGCTGGGCCTGGTTGAGTCGGTGGGCAGCTGGATGTAGTATTCCTCATGATGAGGCTGGTAATCAACTCTTTGGTGGAATCTACTGTGAGCAGCTAAGTAGCTGCTTTGGGTAGGTGGTCTGCTTCCCGTATATAAGCAGCGGCTTTGGGAATGGTCTCTAGCTTATGGCACACTTGAACCCTGCATGTAGCTGTGTTGTTGCTCAGCAGCCTGCCATGCTCTCCTGCCCTTGGGACTTCCAATGGACTTGAATTAATGGCCTGCCATGTGGTTTGGTAACATCGGGACTGTGACCATTTACTTGCCAACCTTGGGTTTGTCAGCCTCAGCAGCCAACAGCTGTCTGAGTGGAGAAAAGCCTCCAGCTTCAGTGGGCCAGGAGCAAGAGGCAGAGCTGAAGCCCAAGGTTGAGGGGCTTTCACCCAGCCCCTAGAGCCTGGCACTTTGAACTTGGACTTAAAGCTTCCAACCTGTAAGAGAATAAACTCCTATTTGTTCAAGCCATCCCATTTGTGGTATATTCTTGTCAGAGCAGCACTAGGTAACGAGAACGCCCATGGAGATGGAGAGGCAGGGCACGAGACAGAGACAGAAAGACAGTGGTGTCAGAGAGAAAGAGGCAGAAAGGGGAGGCATAAAGATAAGCCAATGAAAAGAGGCATAGAGGTCAATGCTGGAAAAAACAGATATGGCCAAGAGAGACAGTAGATAGAGCCTGGCAGACAGAGAAATAATCTCACAGAGAAAATTTAGAGAAATGAGACTTAGGAAAAAATAAGAAGGGGAAGGGAGGGTGGCAGAGGCAGTAGTGACAGTGGCATTGGCCCCTGGCTGCATCTCTGCCCACTTCAGCGGCACAGACGGGGATGGAGTGCATCAGAGACCAACCCTACGGGGGTGGGGTGGGGGAGGTGCCTAGCAAAAAGACACCATGGCAACGGGATGCTGTGTCAGGGTGGAGAAACTCAGCCAGGGTTACACAGCTAAGAAGGCAGAGCTGGGATTCAAGCCCATGGAGCTCTGGTAGCACAGATGCAGGTGGTTCTGTGCCCCTTTCTCTGATAGAGGTAAAACCCCTCCTCCATCTCTTCCTGCTCAGGCCCAGACTGCTAATGGGTGCCTCCCATGATGGGAGCTCACTGCCTCACAGTGCATGTCAGAACTCCAGTCCCAGACTATCCAGGGCCTGGAGGTACCTGGAAGGAATTGAGGCCCACGGCAGCATAGGTCCAGGCTGGGCTGAGGTGCACCAGGATGCCGACCAGCCAGGTCAGGCCCAGGACAGGCAGCAGTACCAGCACTGGCTTCACCATGGCCCTATGGGAGAGCAGACAGGGCTGTGGGACATCAGGGTGGCCTGGGGGGCTCTGCTCAGGGCTTCAGGGGAGAGCAGCACCTGGGGAGGGGCTGGAGCTGCAGACCAGGGACCACAGCTCAGTATTCAGGTGCAGCTGGAACTTGCAGTTGGACTTTCCAGCCTCTTCTCAAAGACCCAGAGGTAGCATAAATGGGACTACTGGGCACAAGCTTCTAAGCCTGGCTTAAATAAGGGGTAGTAGCTGAAGCCTGGGCAGTAGGACCAGAGTGGAGTTAGAAAGAGCTTTCCTTTCCCCTCTCTAAGAAGCCCTGGGACTCCCTGGCTTTTCAGGGACCCACTGGCTTGGGTTGCTCTGCCATTGGTGGAGGGGGGCCGGCAGAGAAAGGCCAGAGAGGAGACAGAGCTGTGGGAGGAAAGCCAGAGATGGCCCCTCTCAAGCAGGGTGTGGTCCTGGAGAGTGAAGGAAGTTCCTGACAGGGATCCAGATATTCACCTTGAATCTGGGCTCCTGGGGACTGTCTGATTTTGGTGTCTTCCCACCTTGCCCTCCTTACCAGACCATCAGTGAACCCCTAGGACAGCGGCCAGGGTGCATGTCATCTCCCACAAGTATATACACACAGGATCACCTACCATCCCCCAATACCTACTAGGCAAGAGCATATATGTTACATGCATTCCACATGTGTGAGCACCATACATTCATAGCCAGGACACATGTCCACACACATGTTCATATACACACGAGTACACACAGCCACAGGGCCACACGCTACCCTGCATGGACTCACTTACATGTGCTCACACTCAAGGACCCTCACAGCTGGCATCAGCTGACGTTATGGTTCCCCTCTTCTTCCTGGACTACCCCAATCTGGGCCTCACCATAACTTGTTCCTGATCTGCTGCTGCAAACAAGGCTGGGGGCTCAGCATGCGGGCACGGCGGTGGGCGCTGGACACAGTGACCATCACCACGCGGACAAGGATGCAGGTATTGACCTGTAGGCTTGGTGTCAGTGGGTGAAAGGGACTACCCTGCCTCTGAAATGTCCCTCCCCTCCAGGCCCACAGACCCCCGGCTCACAGTCAACACGAAGAGCACTGGCCCCACAAAGGCCCAGATGGTGTCTGTGTGCACGTTGAGCCAGCAGTGCCCAGTAGCCACGTAGTCATGGGGGGACACGGCCAGGGTGATGGCAACTGGCCATAGGCATGCCTAGGGGAAGAAGAAGGGGCTTCAGGACCAAGTCACCCACACTTTCCTCTCCAGGATGCAGTCCTCCTCCAGGGCGGCAGCCCACATCTGTAATATAGCAGGCTGTATGAGGGGAGAGTTTGGGAGATCTGGACACAAGGTTGGGAGACCCGATACTATTAGGGCAGGACTGGGGCCATGAGTAGCTTGGGGTGGGGGGTGCTATGATTGGGTTAAGGGCTTAGGGCTGGGAATCAAAAGAGATGGACAGTTGCCCATTGGCATGGGGGTTAGCTGTTCAAGGACTGGAGGGTGATGGCCCTAGAGGCAGGGAGTTGAGGTAGTAGGTAGCTGAAATGGGGCAGGATTTAGAAAATTTGGAGTTGGGTGAAACTGGAGATTGACAGAGCTCAGAAAATTGAGCTCATGTCAGAGATGGGTGCCGGGTGGAGATGGGTGCCACGATATTGGGTGCCAGGCAGTGCTGGATGCCAGGCAGAGATGGGCAGTGAGTGGTGTTGGATGCTGGGCAGTGATGGTTCTAGGTGGAGATTTGTGTTGGGTACCAGGCAGTGTTGGGCGCCAGGCAGAGATGGATGCCAGGTGGTGTTGGGCACCAAGTGGTGTGGTATTGGGTGTTGGGTAGAAATGGGTGCCAGGTAGTGGGCCAGGCACTGATGGAGCCTGGTGGTGTTGGGCACCAGGCAGTGCAGGGGGCCGAGTGATGGGTGCCAGGTGGTGTTGGGTGCTGGGTAGATGGTAATGATAAAGGCAGAGCTGAGTATGATAGAGCAAGAGCAGGGAGCAGAGGAGCCTCACCCCAGGCCACGGCATAGTAGAGCCTCATTCTTGGGCCTGGGCGCATGCTCACAGCCACCACCTTGCTCCACAACAGCAGTCCCTCCACCAGCATCCAGGAGAACGCGACCAAGAAGAGGAGATGCCTCATAGCTGTGATGGCCAAGCATGCCACCTGCAGGCCATACAGGCCACGGTCAGCCATGGGTGAGCCCATCCTGGGGGCCCCCACACCTACACCCAACCTTGCTAAACCAAGGAGGTATCAGTGGGTAAGGTCTCTAGGCAGAGCCCTGAGTCCAGTTCAGCCACTCAGGAACTTTCTTCCCTGGGCCCTTCTCCTCCCTAGGGAAACGGAGGCAAGCTGGGAGCCACCCAGAGAAGGGGCAGGACCCACAGGCATCCATGGGCAGGCATGGCTGTGCTGTCCAGGTCCCTCTGAGCTCACAAGCCCACCTGCTGGCTGCCCACCTTGTTGACCTTTGCCCATTCGCTGGCCATAAGAAGACCCTCTGCAGAGGCTAAGGAGAAGGTGAGGTTCTTGTGGACCGTGACTCGCTCTGACTTGGGGACCCTGCACAGGCAGAGCAATGAGTTAGCAAGGACACCACCAGCAGTCCTCATGCCCCTTCAAGTCTCCTGCCTCTTGGGGTCAGGATGGACACCTGACCTGAGAGAGGCATGAGGGCCTATGAGGGGCAGGCTGGGCCCAGGGTGCCAGGAGGCTGTGGTGAGCTCTACTCACCTGGCTGCCAGGAAAAGCATGAAGGTGGTAGCGAGGGCACAGAACGACACACCACAGCCCACAAATGAGAGAGTCCTCAGCAGTGACTCCTCCTCAGGGCCTCTCTGCAGGGAGTAACAGAGACCCTGTTACTCTACCGTCACCCTGTCACTGTCCTGACCTGACCCAGACCAGACCTCACCCTAAGCCCAGGGATTTCAAGGCCCCTCCAGTCCATTCTCTTCTGCAGTCTAGTGGGATGGTGATGGTACCAGCTGACAGGGTAGAGGTCTGCACACAGTAGGACTGAATCAATGTGCCTTCCTTCATGCATCCTTCTCTTCTGCTGGCTCTCTCTAAATAAGCCTCCATCAGCCCAGCTTCCACAGATTCAACAACTACTTAGAAGCAACTGACATGCTCATTGGGAGGGGTCATGTATGACCACCACATGCAGGTAGATGCCACTAGAAATGGGACTGTGCATGGATTGTTTTTAACATGGAAAAACATCCATACTCTGTTTTTATAAGCACTATGCATATGATAATATGTTTTTCTAGTGTGTTCCCCACATGCCAAGTCACCCCAGTATTCCTGGGCCCAGACTGCCCTCATAGGCCCTCATGCCTCTCTCAGGTCACGTGTCCATTCCTGACCCCAAGGCCTCCCCTTAGGATAGGCCATCCCCCAGCAGAGCCGCCCCCTCTGCCCACCTGTCCCGGATCATTAACCCACCCACAGGGGACCCAGGAGAGGAGGAGGGTGCCCTGAGCTCTCCTCAGCCCATCTTAGTTGGCCTCTGAGCAAATGACCCCTCGAGCCCCTCCCTGGGTCCAGTGAGCCCACCTGTCCTGATCTGCTTTTCCCTCCCATCTTGAGAAGCTGGTGTCCCTCAAGGTCGTGTCTCCTCTTACTTATCTCAAGTAGAGTTACCTACCAGCTTTTCACTTCCTCTCCAGTAGAGACCTGCTTCCTGAACACCAGATCCATAGACCCATGGGCATCTCAGCCCCCCCATGTCCCACCTGAGCCCATTCCCCCTTCTGTATCCCCCTCAGAAACAAGTCCCTCATCCCCCATTGGTCCAGGTCATTGTCATCTTGACCTGCCCCTCCTGCCTCCTCAATCCAGTCTCCTCCCTATCTCCCACACACCCCTGTCCAGGGCTCCTCCCTCTGTCCAGGCCAGGCCCACATTCCCTCTCCTGCTCTCTCTGCCTCCAGTCTCACTCCCTGGGACCAGAGGGTGCTCTAGAGGCAAACCCAACTGCTTGCTAACACTCCGCCAAGGCTGCCTTTGCCAGTAGGATCATGATTGGAGCTTGTGACCTGGCATTCAAGGCTCCGTGTGATCTGTGCCACGTTCACCTTGCCACTTCATTGTTCTCGACTCCTGAACTGCTCTGGAAGCTCCCTGTGACAGGTCTACCATGCAGCCCCTCCAGTCCTTAAAACAGTGCTCCTCAGCTTCCGTTCGCAGATGCCTTAGTGCTTAACTGCTGTTCATCCGCTAACATTTGGTTCCGACATCACCTCCCTCCCCCACCCCCAGGTGCTCACCTGGATGTCATACACCTGTAACAGGACGGCAAAGTTGGTGCTGTGGTTGCAGAAGCAGGCAGTGGAGTCCTGGTATAGGGTGGTCACAGAGCAGCCAGTGGTGGCCCAGGAACCCCCTGTGCTTGGGCTTGGAACAGAGGGGGCTCTCAAACAGGGTGGCCATGAGGGTGGGAAGCAGGGGAAAGACTCCTCTACCAGCTATGTGACCTTGGCCAAGTCACTTCCCTTCCCTGAGGCTCAGTATCCCACCTGTAAAATGTACTTAACTCTCTCAGGATGGTGGGAGGAGAGGACAGGGCTAGTACCAGTGACTGATTACCATTGATTAATTGCAGTAATTATTAAGCAAAGTGATCAATGCTCATTCTCTCAGCTCAAGGTTTTCACAGGAAGCTGGGATTAAATTCTGTACCATTCTCTGCCTCTTTGAATATTCTAGGACCCTGGCCTCAGATATAATCATGTCTGACACTCATTTGAGAGATGAGTCTTTTCCTATGCACTTCACAGAGTGGGCTTGCATACCTCATATAACAGGGAGCTCACTACCTCCTGGGCAACAAAATCTCCTGCCTTAGCTTGTCCTGGAGCTGGGTGGGGCTGGGAGTCACCTCTGCAAGGGGGTTGGTGAATGAAGACCAAAACCACAACTGCACTCTACCTCATCCCTGACCAGGGTGGGTGTCTTTAAGAAACAAAAACGAATGCCTTATTTAAAGAAGGAGCTCTGGTGGCACAGTAGTTAAAGCACTCAGCTGCTGACCAGAAGGTCAGTGGTTCGAACCTCCCAGCCACTCTGTGGGAGAAAGATGAGGCAGTCTGCTTCTGTAAAGATTTACAGCCTTGGAAACCCTATGGGGCAGTTCTACCCTGTCCTATAGGGTCACTATGAGTCGGAATTGACTTAATGGCAGTGAGTTTATTTAAAGAAACTCACCTGCTGCTGAAGTTCCAGAAAGCACAGACAGGCTCCACCAGCTTGTGAGGGAAGTCCTAGGGGCAGGAAACAGAACAGGGCAGGCATGAGCTGTGTGCATGGAGTGCGTACATGACAGTTGTGTTTATGGGGACACAGGTCAGGTGTGAGTGTGAGGAGGCACAAGGATGTATGCAAATTTATTTATATGGGGGATACAGGGCAGGTGTGTGTATAGGAGGCACCGGGCAGGTGTGAGTGTGCATGGAAAAGAAGAGACCAGAAAGATGGTGAGGAATGTTGAGGGCTCTCTCCGAAACACCAAGGGCCTGTCCAGCATGGGTCATAGGAGCAGGGGCTGGAGAAAAAAGCCAGTGGGGAGGTAGAAGGGAAGATGAGGTGAGTGGACTTTCATACTGTTGTTGTCAGATACCATCAAGTTGGTTTTGACTCTTGGTGACCTCATGTACAACAGAATGAAACACTGCCTGGTCCTGTGCCCGTCCTCACAATTGTTACCATGCTTAAGTCCATCATTGCAATTACTGTGTCAGTCCGTCTTGTTGAGGGTCACTTTTTTGCTGACCCACTACTTTACCAAGCATGATGTCCTTCTCCAGGGACTGGTTCCTCCTGATAACACGTCAAAAGTACAAGAGACAAAGTCTCCCCATCCTCACTTCTAAGGACCATTCCAGTTGTACTTTCTTCAAGACAGATTTGTTCATTCTTCTAGTAGTCCATGGTATATTCAATATTCGTCACCAACACCACAATTCAAATGCATCAATTCTTCCGAGGACTTCTTTATCCACTGTCTAACTTTCACATGCATATGAGGCCACTGAAAAGACCATGGCTTGGGTCAGGGGCACCTTAGTCTTCAAAGTGACATCTTTGCTTTTTAATACTTTCAAGAGGTCTTTTGCAGAAGATTTGCCCAATGCAATACATAATTTGATTTCTTGACTGTTGCTTCCATGGGCATTGATTGTGGATCCAAGTAAAATGAAATCCTCGACAATTTCAATCTTTTCTCCATTTATCATGATGTTGCTTATTGGTTCAGTTGTGAGGATTTTTGTTTTCTTGATGTTGAGGTGTAATCTATACTGAAGGCTGTACTGATCTTCATCAGTAAGTATTTCAAGTCCTTTTCACTTTCAACAAGCAAGTTTGGGTCATCTGTATATTGCAGGTTATTAATGAGTCTTCTTCCAACCCTGATGCTGCATTCTTGTTCATATAGTCCAGCTTCTCAGGTTATTTATTCAGTATACAGATTGAATAAGTATGGTGAAAGGATACAACCCTGATATATACCCTTCCTGATTTTAAACCATGCAGTATCCCTTTGTTCTGTTTGAACAACAGCTTCTTGGTCTATGTACAGGTTCCTCATAAGCACAATTAAGTATTCTAGAATTCTCATTCTTTACAAGGTTATCCATCATTTGTTATGGTCCACACAGTCGAATGCCTTTGCATAGTCAACAAAACACAAGTAAATATCTTTTTGGTATTATTTGCTTTCAGCCAAGATCTGTCTGATGTCAGCAATGATATCTCTTGCTTCACATCCCCTTCTGAAACCAGCTTGAATTTCTGGCAGTTCTCTGTCAATGTACTGCTGCAACCATTTAAAAATTATTTTTAGCATAATTTTACTTGTATGTGATATTAATGATATTGTTTGATAATTTCTACATTCTGCTGGACCACCTTTCTTTGGAATGGGCACAAATATTGATCTTTTCTAGTCGGTTGGCCAAGTAGCTGTTTTCCAAATTTCTTGGCATAAATAACTGATATTTTGCCCACAGAATCCTTCAAAATTGCAACACAAGGCCTAAATTTTCCTTCAGTACTTTCAGCTTGAGAAATATGTTCTTCTTTTTTGATTTTCCAACCCTAGGTTTTTGCACATTTCATGTGCAAAAATTACTTTGTCTTCTCGAGCCACCCTTTGAAATCTGCTCAGATCTTTTACTTCATCATTTCTTCCATTTTCTTTAGCTATTCTACATTCAAGATCAGGTTGCAGAGTCTCTTCTGACATCCACTTTGGACAGGAAAGCTTGTCTGTAATGACCATTTGCTTTTTTCATGTATGAGGTTCTTGATGTCATCCTACAACTCATCTGGTCTTTGGTCATTGGTGTTCAATGCATCAAATCTATTCTTCAGATGGTCTCTAAATTCAGGTGGGATATAATCAAGGTCATATTTTGGCTCTCATGGACTTGTTTTAATTTTCTTCAGCTTCAACTTAAACTTGCATATGAGCAATTTATGGTCTGTTCCACAGTTGGTCCCTGGCCATACTCTGATGATACTGAACTTCTCCATCACCTCTTTCCACAGATGTAATTGATCTGATTCCTGTGTATTCCATCTGGTGAGGCCCACGTGTATACTCACCATTTATGTTGTTGAAAAAAAGTATTCGCAATGATTAAGTCATTGGTCTTGCAAAATTCCATCATGCAATCTCCAGCATTACTTATATCACACAGGCCATAGTTTCCAACAACCAGTGCTTGTTTGTTTCCAGATTTTGCATTCTAATCACCAGTAATTATCAGTACATCTTGATTGCATGTTTGGTCAATTTCAGACTCAGAAGCTGGTGAAAAAAAATGTTTAATTTCTTCATCTTTGACTTTGGTGGTTGGTGAGTAATTTCACTAATAGCAGTATTAATTGGTCTTCCTTATAGGCGTCTGAATATTACCCTATCACTGACAACACTGTGTTTCAGGATATATCTTGAAATGTTCTTTTTGATGATGAATGTGACACCATTCCTCTTCAATCTGTCATTTCCAGCATAGTAGGCCATATGATTGTCTGATTCAAAATGGCTAACACCAGTTCATTTTACCTTACTAATATTAGGCCGAAGCAAACCCAAGCCACCAACATTTCAGTTAGCAGCTTCCTCCGGACGTCAAGCCCTGATGAGACAGCCTGATAAGACAACGG